GAGACGATGTGGAGAAATAGAAACACTATTACACCGTTGGTGGGACTGTAAACTAGTTCAACCATTGTGAAAGACAGTGTGGCAATTCCTCAAGGATCTAGAACTAGAAATACCGTTTGACCCAGCCATCCCATTGCTGGATATATACCCAAAGGATTATAAATAATGCTGCTATAAAGACACATGCACATGAATATTTATTGCAGCACTATTCACAATAGCAAAGACTTGGAACCAACCCAAATCTCCATCAATGATAGACTGCATTAAGAAAATGTGGCACATCTACACCAAAGAATACTATGCAGTCATAAAAAGGATGAGTTCATGTCCTTTGTAGGGACATGGATGAAGCTGGAAACCATTGTTCTGAGCAAACTATTGCAAGGACAGGAAACCAAACACCACATGTTCTCTCATAGGTGGGAAATGAACAATGAGAACACCTGGACACAGGGTGGGGAACATCACACACCGGCACCTGTCATGGGGTGGGAGAAGGGGGAGGGATAGCATTAGGGGATATGCCTAATGTAAATGATGAGTTAATGGGTGCAGCACACCAACACGGCACACGTATCCTAGAACTTAAAGTATTTAAAAAAAAAAAAAAAAGAGTTGATGCTAATGATGGTAATAACGATGACAATAATAACAGCAGCTCTGATGTCATGGAGACTTTCTACACACACTTCATTATGCTAAGGGCTTTACCTTAGTTCATTTACTCTTTATAAGAGCACAATAAAGTCAATGTGACTAACCCCACTTAACAGATGAGGAACTTGAGGCTCAGAGGTTCAAGGTCACATGGCCGTGGCGAATGAGGAGTCAAATCCAAGCTTCTGTGATGGCAGAGCCTTGGCTCTCACCTGCCCTGAAAGACCACAGCTGGGATCTTAGCAAAAGCCAGCGCCTGCTTGGGTAAGGAAGGAGGGCTAAACCTCAGTTAGAGCAGGTGCGGGAAGCACCACGCTGTTCACCTGACTTCACTTAATCCTTTCACGAGACAGCCTTCTTCCTGTGTGAACAGCCAGCGGGAGAGGTCAGTTATCCACTCCGAGTCATCTACACAGCTAGGAAGGGGTAAGGCTGGACTCAGAACCTGGTATTTGAGGCTCTACCACACCACGGTGTGTGGTGAAGCCAGGCACCAGGGTGTCACTCTCGTCCGACCCTGGGAAGACCACTGTCCCACAACAGAACAGTATTAGCACTGCTGATAAGGTAGATGCAATTCGCACCGCGCTGCCTGTACACCGGGGCTTGAACCAAGGGCACTTCCTATGTTCGTCCATGGGATCTGCCCAGAGGACCCTGTGTGGTGAGTCCAAATGACGGACAAGGAGCAATATGGAAATTCACTGACTGTGACCACAGGGCTGTGACACAGCCAGGCCACAGCAGGGAAGTAATAGCTTCGGGAGTTTCCTGAGGCCCAACAGGCTGCTTCCCAACCAGCTACCAGCACCGCTTCATAAACAGGGAGTTTTTTGGCCAACTCTTGCCCCAAAAGCCAGGAGCGTCCAGAGAACTCTCCGGCGTCTCAGTCTGAGTACAGATGGGCTTGTATCACACAGCAGAGCGCTCACACACGGCCCCCAGAGACTGCAGTCATGACAACCCCTGTTTTACAGACGACAAAAATGAAGCTCAGAGCTGTTTGTGATTTCCCACAAGTCACCAGCAAGTGGCTGAGATCTGACCTCAGGTGCTTCTAAGACCACGATCCGTCCTCTCTGCTCCAGCACCTGCACTGTGTTTATAACCGGTTCCCCCACCTGGGTTCCGGATCTCTCTAGCTGTAGCGACACTGCTGGAAAACAAACCCAGAGGTAGTCAGTTCTCGCCTAAGCCAGGCCTGGGCACCTCTGAGGGCCCAGAGCTTAAAACCCTGACACATAAAGTGAGGGGTGGCCGCTGGAGCAGTCCCCACCCGAATCACAGAGCTGTCCCTGGGTGCTCCCAAGCCTCTGACCATCTTGCCTCGGACCACCCCAGGGAGGGGGCCAGGTCTCATCTCTGAATCCCCCATGCGGGGCCCTGGGCCAGGTGGATGGCTGGTGCTTGGGAGGGAACTGCTGAACCCAAGACCCAGTGCACACTGGGACTGGGCCAATGACGGAGCCTGGGGCCTGTGATTGGCTTCCGAACAGAAGGGATATTGAGTCTCCATCTGGGGGACTAGCATGTGCCACTAGGTGCCAAGATCGAGTGGGATGCCGATTAAGATCCTGGCTTGGACTGGGGCAGGAGGTGGGATCTGAACCCTTGTCCAGTGGCCCATGCTGGGGAGGTGCTGCAGAGAGATGCTCCACTGATACCTGGGTGCCACCCACGGGAGAGGCCAGCGGGTGCTCAGACCCGAGCTGGGCAGAGGGGTGGTCCCGGGACCCCTACCCACATACAATTCACCACAGATGCACTGTGTATCAGTTTGTGTGCTGTGTGTATAACTGTGCCCTACATAGAAACATCTCTAAAAAGAAAGAAAAAGTTAAAAAAAAAAAGTAAGCCAGCAAGGACAAATGTTCACTCCCATCGACAATGAGCGGTTTAGATAACCCCTGAGTGAGGGCGTTTCCTGCCCCACCTTCCTCCAAATAAACCCACGATAGCGTGCGTGGCAGCCTTCAAACCCCGATCACACCCTGGAAGCTTC